TGGGACCTTCAGTCTCCCGGTGACAGGAAACCAGTTGTAAAGCTGTAAAACTCAGTTGTTTCAGATGTAGCTAATGATTGAACTCCAAGACTCCCCTCCCAATTGAATGGCAGTATCACTTTTAGGGATCTGACAGCTGGCTTTCATGCCTAAGGCAGGACTAGAACTCACAATCTCCTGGTTTCTAGCCCCACATCTTAATTATTTGACCAATTGGGCTTTCACAAATAATGACTAATAATATCACTATGGTAAGTCCTAAAGCTTTATTTTTCTCAATGCACTTTGTTGGAAGAAAAATCCGGTTCGGTTCCAAACCAGGAGAAAGGCACTGGAAATAATATGGAGGCTGATTGGAAAGAAGGACTCTGTTTATTGATGAGCAGAAGCAACAACAGCATGTTGGGACAGCTGACTAATTGGTTTGATGAGCACATGGATTTTTATAGGGTTCTGAGATGCTGCAGGGGGTTGTGCAATGTAGTAAGCTTGGTATCTTTTGCTATTCTAATGGTGGTAGGTTAATCCTATTATGTCCTAAAGGTCATGTCCTGTTCTTAGAATTTGGGTGGGGGATGTAAATTTTAATCCCATCATCTGGAGATGAAGGTGTTGTTTGTGAATAGATTGCCCCAATCTTTCTTAATGGGCACAAACTATTCATCTCAGACATCTGCTGGAGGCTGTTTAGGTAGAAAGCAGGTAGGTAGTTAAGATTTTTCTCCTTTGGGGAAATATTGTGCCTCTTTTAATATTCCCTAAAATATTTCATTGGGGGGGAGGGGGGTTGTTACTTCGTACAACTTGGTGAATAATTAAAAGTCAGGATTATTTAATGAAGATTTTTAAGTGGTAGCCAACATTTGAATGCGTGTGGATGAAGTTTTAGAATACTCTTTGAAATAAGTGTTACATTTAAAGTATTGATAGTGTTACAATGGCTTTCCTTCAAATCTTCATGTATTGATCTCATTTCTGTGACCCAAGTGTGACTTTACAGAAATGATGGTTTTATGATAGGAAAACTTGTCTCCTCATCTGATTCAATGCCCAGTGGGAGGAAAGATGGCAAAGTTTACTGAGTTTCTTCCTTTCCTTTTCATTCAACTGATTACTGTGTGCCAGGAGCTGGGTCATTTCATCTGTCTTGGAAGCTAAGGAGAATCATCCTGGTTATTACTGGAGAGATTCTCTGGCCTGTCCTAGACCAAAAGATCCCGGAAGAAAGCAGTGGAAATCTACTTCCTTAATGCTGGCATTGTCTGTTAAGTCACCAGAATTTCTTTTCCACTGGATGGATCCCTTATTGAAGATTGCTAGTAGCACTATTGTTTCTATTATTACTGCTACTACTGCTGAATGCACGGTCTGATCATCCATTGACTCCCCCGCTCTGTAACTCGTATTTTTGAGAATTAGACTTCTGTTGGACAGCGAAGGGGGAGGGAGGGGGTATTTTATTGTCGTTGTCTTTGGCGGCCGGGTTGTGTGTGTGTCATAGGAACGGAATCCAGGGAACAAAAAAAAAAAAGTTCAGGATAGTCCGTAGGCTCGATCAGAAATCGGATAGTTTGTGTGGCTTATTGGTGCGGCTTACACTACTTACTGATCGCAGGCCTTGGGAGGAGTGCACCTCTTGCGGGCTCTTTCCCCCTCCCAGTCTAAGATCCACTCGATCTACACCGAATCGCCCAGGCTTCGTGACGGCCGGAAAGTCCAGCTTTCATTTCTCCCTCGCACCGTCGTGCCGCGCCCGGGCGTTTCGCTCCCCCCCCCCTTCTGCCTCTTAAAAGAGTTACGCAATGCTCTGTTAGAAGGGAGCTTTCAGCTTGCTCACCTACGCCTTTGGCGAGGGGGAGGGGGCGAGAGAAAGACAGAGGGGAGGGGGGAAACCCAAGGATCTCCTGGGAAGAGCGAGGAAAAAGTCCTGCACAAGTTGAGGGACGAAACAAGCCTCCCCTCCCCCCTCCTCGCACACATGCCAGGGAGAGAGAGGCCTCCCCGCCCTGGGAGCGAAACCCCCGCTCTGCACTGCCCGCCCACTTCTCTCGAGCGCGGCTCTGGCTGGCGAGGGGGAGCCCAGCTGTTGTCCCTTCTGCGGAGCCCGCCTGCTGTTGCTGCTCCTTTCAGGAACTCGCAGTCCTGCTCCAGTTTGACTTGTTGACTAATTTCAAGTTGTTGAATAGCTCGCGTGCTTATCATAGTTGCGGTTGGCTTCAAGCTGCAGACTCGTTGCTTGGGGGGGGGGGTTCGGGCGGGCGGGGGCAGAGAGGCTCAGCCTTAGCGCGTCCGCACGGGAACTCCAGCCGGGCTGCGTTTTGTCCCCGAGAGCCGCGCCAATTCTGCGCAATCCGAGCGGCGAGTACAGTGGCGTCTCGTCTCCCTGCCATTTTCGGCCTGCCTGACTTTTTCTTTCGGAAACCAGAGTTGCTTGGCTCGGTTGCCGCCTTGGTTTTTGAAAGAGTCGCCTGCGTGATGTAGGTGGCGTGTGCTGGAGGCTGAAAGGCTGGATCCAGGTTTCTTCCTCTGTCCCTCCACTAAGATTGGAGCTGATCTGAGTTTAGAGGCTGGTCTCAGCCCAAAACCAGCCTCGGTCCGGAACATCGAAATTCCTGGCCGGCAACCTCACCGGTCCGTAGAACTGGCACAATAGAGCCGATGCGCTCCGAGTCCCAAGGAAACCCATTGGAAAGGCCGTTAACAGAACTAGAGTACGAACCCGGAAGGTGTACAACATAAGCCCTGACTGCCACTGGGCATGTGCAGAGGGCAGCCCCAAACCATTACGGCTCACCCGGAGGGACGGAGGCGGGTCTGCCTTCCAGGGCGCCCAAGATGAGGGCTGGAACCAGCATATTACCTTTACATTTCGAAGGTATAGCCTTCCCTCCAGTGCCCGTTCATCACCTTTATTTATTGACTGGTTGTTAATAAATCGGCCCGCTCTTCCCAAGCCCCTCTGGCATCCGAGTCGGGCTGGGGGGGGGGGCGGGGGGCTGGATGATAGCGACATTGACTGCGCCTGCTGTCACCCTTTCTCTCCCTGGCGTGTGCGGCTGGGGCGGGCGGTGACCGCGCGCTCGTGTTGTCTTCTGCAGCAAGCAGCAGATTTATATTAGCATAGCTGATCTCTTGGGACAAAGGCACATGTAAGGGAGAACGGGGCCCTACGCCCCGCCCTCCTTAGCTGGCCCAGCAAGGGGGCATGTGTCGCCTGCCTCCCAGGCCTTTCTGAGGGAGGTGGGGCGGAGGGGAGTGGAGAGCAGGCGGCGGCAGCAGCGGTAGAAAAGGAGGGAGGGAGACGGAGTGCCTGCCTGCCTAGGGACATAGGCGGGGCTTCCAACGTGAGCCAAAGGGCAAGGAGCTTGCAGAAGCCTTTCCTCGCGTCACTCTCTCCGCCTGGCAAGTGCTGGAAGCGCAGGCTGCTGCTCTTCCAGCGCTCGCCTGCCTGCTCCCTCCCTCCCTCCCTCCTCCTCCTCCTCCATTGTATAATGCTTCGTGATCGCCGCAGCCACAGGAAAGCGGAGGCTTAAATCCTCCCCGAGCGGCGTTCGCTTCCCCGCCCCCCACCCTATTCCACCTCCTCTGTCCCACCGTCACCCCCCCCCCGCGGGCGAGGAGAGTGACATATGGAGCGAGTGGAAGATTAGGAGCGTGCACCGCGCGGCAAGCAGACCCTGATGCTTTAGTTCTCAGGAGGAACTGCATGTGGTAAGTTCAACTCGCCGCTGAAGAGAGGAGCGGGCCAAAGTGGGGGGGGGGCGGGTTCCGTCGCCAGGAGTCACGCACAATCCAGCGGGGGATGTAATTGACTCGGTCAGCGAAGTGGGGGGAATTGGAGGTGTGCGCGGGGAGGGGGGCGGGCGGGGAGATGCACTCTAGACAAATCTCGGGGGCCCTGGCTTAATAAATGTCTTCCTCGTAAGACGTTCGCGAGAAAGACTCGGGGAAACTCCACTCTTCTATGTCTTGGTTGGATTCCCCCCTTGAAAACCCTTTGGATGACCGTCTTCCTCGCCTTCCGAGAGAGCGATGGGCAGTAAGAAGAGTTACTTTTCTGGACATAAAACCACTGAATCCCAACGTGCAGAGAGGATCGGAGGGTCCGATGTTTCTTGGAGCAGGTGTGTGTGTGTGCGTGCCTGCCTACTCGTGTGGCTTACGGCTGGAATGTAACTCTCTGCACGTTTTGTCGCTCTCTTCTTCACTCTCCGAGTGTGATATATCGAGAGTTTTTCAGAGCCATCTTTATACAGTGCAACTTGGTTTTGCTTTGACAATTTTCCGTGTGTGCTGTGGAGTCGGAGATGCAGTGTGTAGCAGCTGCTTACCAGTTTTTCTCATGTTGGAGAAAAAGCAAATGTGTGGGTGGAAGAGAACCTTAAACTGGGGTTCTGAGTGAGCAAAGCCTGAGTATTTGTGCATTATTTGTCTGTTTGGTTAGGACATGATGGCCTGCTGAGGAGGAAGTTTAAAGAGGCGTCTCTGTGTGTTGTAGAATTAACATTTTATCCTGGTTGTAAGTATGTATATTCCAACTGGGTTAATCTATGTCTTGGATTGGTATGGAACAGCAGGATTGGTATAACTGGAAAATCATAGCTGTAATTTTGGCTTCCTAAAAGCTGCAGTAGGTTTAAAAGCAACTCTTGAATATGAAATGCAGAGTTTCATTCCTTGAATCAGATAGAGCAGGGTCGCCACTGAGCAGAAGTTGGCAAGACTAATTGAAATACAGCTCTCCAACTTTGTTTCACTTGACTGGAAGTTCATGTAAGATCTTGCAACACACACACACACACACACACACACAGTGACCATTCAGAATTCTTAATCAGAGTCACCCCCTCCAGTTGCTCCCTTGAGATCGAATAGCAGGCTGCTCCAAAGAAGCATGCCTCTTTTGGCTTCAGTGAAGTTTTATAAATGCTTGGAGTAAAGGCCTGATTCCACTGCCATATCAAATATACAATTGGGTTTGTTCAGTGATTGTTTCTTTTTAATTGAAAGTGGCAGAAAAATAGTGTTCAGATTTAGCCTAGACTTTGTATCCAGGTGTTGGCTTTCTGCTCTCAAAGATCAGCCTTGTGTTAACCACTCCCATCTAGCCCATGACACTGTAACCCAGTCTTTATAATGTGCTGGCCTCCAGGCACATTAGGATTACAAATTTTGCTTCCATAGCCAACAGCTGTGCTGAGTAGGGAAGATTGGATTTGTAGTCCTTTTGGAGGTTATGGGTTGAGGAAGGCTACTGTGTTGCTATATTGACCGTGTGATTCAATTGGGCTATGGCCTTTGCCACCCAAAGAGAAGTTTTACTCTTGATTTCAGCCTTTCTCATCTTCAAGACTCCTGTTCCCCTAAATTTGCGCCAAATTGGGTAGCTTTAGAGATACAGAAAAGGTGGCAGGAAGAAACTGATCAATTATTTATTGTTTTATTAATTGTCTGATGCAGTAGGAAAGAATTCTTAGTATTAATTATATTTTACTAACCTATATTTGATACATGTATTGCAAAGCAAGGAAAAGGCAATCCCTTTTCTCTCCCCCCCCCTTCAAAAGCTTCTTGAAGAAAAAAAAGTTTTTTTTAGGACATCTCTTTAAAGCAGCCCTAAATATCCTTTCCCCAAGAATTATAGATTGTGTAGATAGGTACTACATTTTTGTTCCTTGCACTTTAAGGCAACTTTTAGAATTGAATCTGAAGCTTTGCAGTGCCTTGCTATGTTCTTTCTTCTTGAAATAATAAAACAACCTGGTGTCCATAGAAGGAAACCAATTTTAAGTTTAAGAGGAAGCATTTTCTGACTGACAGTGTGTATTGGAGATGAAGAAGGGATTAGCAGCTTTGATGCCAGACAGGTATATAAGTCTGTATCCTAGGGAACACTTCCATTGTTCAAACAGGAATTGTAGCATCTAGTATAACAGCTGCAATGAGTTTCTTCCTTTGGGGGCATCATTTAATTAAAAAAAAGTTTGTCTTCAGGAGCAGGAAATAAGAATTTTCCAATATTGCAATTATGTTTATTGAGATTTATACCAAGCGTGTAATAGAGAATTTCCTAAAACGTTTTGTGCTGCAGGTTTTTTTTTCTGATGTTGCCTAAAATAGATAGGAAAACCTGTTCTAATAATAATTTTTATTCTGAATAAGACAGCTTGTACAAGTAGAGTCCTCTAAAAGTACAAAAACTTCACAGATATATGTGTTCACAAGTTTAGCTTTTAAAACAAAGTTTCACTTTTTAAAAAAACAGGTTACCTGTTCCAACATAAAAAACAGTAGAAAAAGCTTATATTGGGATAAACGTTTGGTAATCTAGATACCAGATTTTTAAAAGCTATCTTAATGATGATAGATTGATTTTGTATATATATACCAAAACACTTTGTCCCTGAATTTAAAACTTCTGGAGGATCTTACATAACAATAGTCAGTTGAACTACTTTGCTGACAAATGTTCATTCTTCACTTTTGGTATGACACATCAGTGTGAAAAGTACAACAGAGCTTCGTTTGATATTTTGCACATTTTAAATGGAGTGAGGCTTGTGAATTTTGCATTTGCCTCATCTGTATTTGAGAGTGCACCATATCAGAAGTGAGACTGATATTTTTTTTAAATGTAGCTGTGTTCTTCTGTCCCTCCTCATAAGGGCTCTTTAGTGCCTCCTTTGGAAGTACAGTTTTTGTCTAAAAGATAACACAAATGGAGACAGCGCCAGTTGCAACAGCTTCTTGGCCAAAATGGGGGGGCAGGGGGGGAGAGAGAGAAAAGAAAAGAAACTATGCCAGAAACAGCAGGCTCTGATTACCGAGTCCAAAGATCATTTTATGCACTAAAGGAAAGCCAGTGAGTGAGTCCAAGGTCCAGTTTAAATGACTGCAGGGAGGGAATGAGTCTAGGGCATAAGAACAGCTGATCTATTTTTCCCATAATCAGCAAGATTTTTGCTAATTGTTCCGTTATTAACCAGAGCAAAAACCCTTTAGCCTGACACTTGAACAGAAGTAAAGAATTTAACAGGCAAGGGGGAGCATGCTATGGTGTAAGGCATGCCCTCAAAAATAACCCTCAAAAATAATAAGACCTCCCCAAAAATAAGGCCAAGTTCTTATTTCGGGGATCAAAAGAAAATAAGACCCTGTCTTATTTTGGGGGAAACACAGTATATAAACCACAGAAAGTTAACAGTTTACAAACTTTTGGGCCTGAATTACTAGCTGTCCAGGGCTACGAATTGGACATGCCTGGTCTAGATAACCAATTTTCAGCGGTGCTTACTTTATTTATTTTAGTTTTTTTAAATTCACGCGTGAACATATTTAATAATTCCCATTCCTCCTATTTTCCTCCCAACCACCACCACCACTGTGTGAGTGACTTGCTCAAAATCACCCTGCTGGCTTTCAAGCCTAACGACATGGGATGAGAACTCAAGTCTCCTGGTTTCTAGCCTTGGTGCTTTTACCACTAGACCAAACTATGTTGATCGTGGTGTGGTATAGTTTCATGGCCTAATCTGTTCCTTCAACTTGTTTCCTATGCTTTTCTCAACTTGTTATTCCAATGCATGCAGTTTGTTAGAGATGAAACTAAGCGGATAGGTTCTGCTTTCCATGTTGGGTTGTGCAGCTTTTTGATGCAGAAATTACTAGGAATAGCATGGATTCCTATTTCACACATGATTAATTTGATAATCTGTCTTGACTTCAAAGAATGATTAAAAGCATAAGATGTGTTTTAACTCTTCCCCTCCCCAGCAGAACTCTTTATAAAGATATGAAGGAGAGGAAAAAAAATAGATGGCCACCTTTTAACATTCTATTACTGTGGGAAATTACTGGCTCCAAATCAGCTTTAGTTAAAAGAGGGTCTAAGTGACAAAGAATCTGTCAATATCTAAAGAAAGTAGCCTTAGCTTGACACTCCATTTTACTTAAACTAAGTTAAATTGCTAATCTGTAAATAAGACACTAATCATGTTTAAATACCATGAAAGTTGACGATTACATTTTAGGCAGGGCAAGGAAATCTAGGCTGCCAAAAACCAGGAAACCACTAGTTGGCAGTAAAGAGATACAGAATATACCGTAATCAGATCTTTGTGTTATATAATGATTGTCCGGATTCTTTTGCTACTAAGGTCTAGTAGCACTAGATTTAGGGATTTGAAAGGGAAGAATCCAAATATTCTTATTAACATTTATGAGAACAGCTTATACTTTCCGAATATGCATGGCTGAGTCACATGACTAAAGATCAGAGTGAGGTTTTGGTAAATTCAGCCATTATTGCTGACCAGGTGACACAAAAGTTGTTTGTTACACAACTAGTTCTATTTTCAGCCATAATGATGCAAAACTGTGTTGTTGCCTTCATGTCTTTTCATAGGTTTTTCTAAGAAAATCTGATTCTGCAAGTAACAACAAAACCCACTCCTCATTTTATTGCATAGGGATAGAAGATAGTGGTTGATTTTGGGTCTCTTGATTCAGGCCTTATTATATAATACTGAGGACACAAAAGAGGTGTAGTATTAACTCAGAGTTACTGAGAAGTTTTATTGAAATTTTGAGTATTCCTGTATGTCAGAAAGTTATTTATTTTTTATTTTTTATTTATTTTATTAAGATTTATAGGCCGCCCTTCTCCCTGAGGGGACTCAGGGCGGCTTACAATCACAGGGAAGGGGGTGCTA